TAGTCTTATATTTTCAGTATACTTTCTATTAGCACATTGTATTTTTTAATGCATTCTAACAATCTTTGTCTTTTAATGGGAACGTTTAGTCTATTTATATTTAATGTAACACTTGTTATGTTTGGATTTAAATCTGTTCTCTGACTATTTGCTTTTTATTTGTCCTGGCTGTTCAGTGTTTTGTTTTGTTTTGTTTTGTTTTGTTTCGTTCTTGTTTGCTTTCTTTTTACCTGATTGCTTAGTTTTTATTATTCCCTTAGTAATTATATACTTTTCACTATTCTGTTCTTTGTAGCAATTACCACATACATCATTGATTTATCAAGTCTAATATAAGTTAGTACCTTTAGCTCTTCCTGGACAATGTAAGAACCAGGACAAATTTTCACTTACCTCATCCTGGCACACTTGCTGCTTTTTTCGTATGTTTTAATTCTTTATATGTTGCACCCTCAAGGTTATTATTATTATTATTTTATACTCAAAGTTTCCTCAGATCAGGCTCTCTCAACCTTAGCACTACTAATATTTGGGTTAGATAATTCTTCTCTGTGGTGTGGCTGGCCTTTGTATATTTAGTAGCATCCCTGACGTCTACCCAATAGATGCCACTAGCACCTTCCCCTCGGTTATGACAACCAAAAATGTCTCCAGACATTACCAGATGTGTCCTGGGAGGTGGAGGGAATCATCCTGCCCTCAGATGAGAACCCCTGATTTATATTCACCTAAACATTTATCCTTTTGGTTTCTTCTCATTCCTCCCTGCATCTCAGTCTTCTATCAGGATTATTTTCTTTCTGATTGAAGAACACCTTTTAGCAATTCCTTTAGTGCAGGACTACTGATGACCAATTCTTTGTTTGTCTGAAATGTTTATATTTTATGTTCATTCTGAAAAGGTATATTTGCTAGATATGGAATTCCAGGTTGACAAATGTTTTCTTTCAGCATTTTGAAGATTTTGTTCCAATGTCTTCTTGTTTCCATAGTTTCTATAACAGTCATCTGTCAATCTAATAATTATTTCTTCTTTAAAAGTAGCTTTCTTTCTGTCTGCTTTTAAGATGTTCTCTTCAGCTTTGGTTGTCAGCTGTTTTACTCTGTTGTACATAGATATGATTTTCTTTTTTTATCCTGTTTGGGATTCATAGCACTTCTTGAATCTATGGCCTGATGTTCATCAATTTTGGAAACTCCTTAGCCCTTATCTTGTCAAATTGTACTTTTCTACTTCTCTCTCCTCTTTTTAGAACTACAATTACATGGATGATAGCCTGCTCATTATGTCTTTAATGTCTCTTTCCCTCCCTTGTGTTTTCACCTTTGTGTCACTCTGTGATTCACCCTGTTTATTCTTCTGTCTTCCGATTCACTAGTTATTTCTTCAGCTGTGGTTCATCTGCTATTAAGTCCATCCATTGTCTTCCTTGTTTCTGTTATTGTGTTTTTTTTCTTTTCAAGGTTTCAGTGGGTTCTTCTTGTTTCTGATTCTCTACTGAAATTTTCAATCTTGTCTTTTTTGAACACGTGAATCACATTTATCTTCAAGTCTGTGTCTGAAGACTCCGTTTTCTGGACCCTCTATATGTCTATTTCTATTGTCAGTTATTTCTTTAGGTTTTTAGCTGTGTTGTTATGTCTCATGGCTTTTGATTGAGTGCCAGACATTTATATGAAAAATCATGAAAATACTTTGAAGCCTGGGATGATATAGTCTTTATCCCAAAAGGATTTACTTCTGCTCTGGGCATGAAGGTAAGGGCACTGCCAATCACAGACTGAGTGATTTAAAGCTGAGCTTCACTAGACCCAGTTACGAATTACACTGTGGATTCCAGCCAAAGCCTGGTGTGTCACCGGCATCACTTTTCCTGCCACCCAAGCCGCTTGCCAGGCCCTGCTCCTCGAGGTTGGTTTCTCTCTCACCTCATGAAGCTGTTTTAAAGCTACACTAAGCTTTTCAGCCACCTCTTCGAATCCACAGATGCCTCCAGAAGAAAGACTCTTCCAGACCTCTTCAGGTTTCAGTCCTATCCTAAAGATTAGCCCTGTTATTTTTCCTATCATGTCTAGTTATTCTCAGCAGGTGGATTCATCTGAATTGCCTAGTCTGCCATCAGAAGCAGAAGTTCCCTCAGGTTAATTTTATTTCCTGCTGAAATATATCCTCTTCTCCTAAGAGAATGTTTTGGGTTGTAAAAATTTTGAATTCTTAGATATCAGAAAATATCATTCTGCTTAGTGGAAAGAGAATTATGATTTTTTTTTTTTTTGAGGAAGATTAGCCCTGAGCTAACTGCCACCAATCCTCCTCTTTTTGCTGAGGAAGACTGGCCCTGAGCTAACATCCATGCCCATCTTCCTCTACTTTATATGTGGGACGCCTGCCACAGCATGGTTTGCTGAGCGGTACCATGTCTGTACTGGGGATCTGAACTGGCGAACCCCGGGCCGCTGAAGCAGAACATGTGAACTTAACTGCTGCACCACTGGGCCAGTCCCAAGAATTATGATTTTAAAATCACTTTCCTCCAATACTTTATAGATACTGTTCCATTAATTTCTTATATCTAGTCTCACTGATGAGAAGTTTAACTTAACTCTCATTCTCATCTCTTTGTAAGAGATCTTTTTTCCCCTCTCTCTATAGAAGTTTTTTTCAGATTTTCATCTCATCATTAATATTCACAAATTTTACTATAATGTATAGGGTTTTTTCTTTTAATTTATTCTTCTTGGGATCTTTTAATCTAATGACTTCTTTCTTTTCCACACAAGCTCTCTTTTGCTTAGTTCTCTCCCATACCTATTCAAGGTTACATTTTCCCTCTTTAAATTCATTCTTATCGTCTCTATCTTTGAAGGACTCCTCACAGTTTCTGTCTCACTGGGAGCAACTCTTCTTATTTCCTAGTGCAGCTGTATATTCAGTGTGTATTTGTTGGTAATATATCTTCTATTATTTCTAGAGGTTTGGTCAGAGAAGAGAGAGTGATATCTGCTTAGTTTACCCTCTTGAATTGCAGTGGTTCTTTTTACAACTTCATCCAGCAGAATCATCCTCCTCTAGTTGGGCTGTACTTGGATCCTGTTCTGACTTGCCACCATGTTTCCTAGCTCAGCAAATAGCAGCCTGGAAAGTCTCTTCATATTGTCTTAACCTCAGCATGCAAACTTTGGTTCACTACACATGTACATTAATTAGTCATTTCAGAACCTGTGCTATATAGGCCGTTGAAATAAAGCTATATTAGAACAACTTTTTGTTATCTGCTTTAGTTTTAGAAAAACTAACATGCAGAATGTAAGGAAGGAGCAAATCCCTTAGCTGATAAGCAGCTGAAGTCACAAAAGTCAGTTCAGAGAGCCAGCTGCTACGTGAGAAAGGAATAGGAGAAGCAGCAGGGACACATATGAGACGAGCGCCGGCCTGTGAGACAGGCTGAAGTAGACCTGCGAGTGACAGGGGGCGTGGGCTCTGAAAGAGAGTGTGAACGCCACGCTTGCACAAGACACGTCCACGGAAATGTTCTTGCTCTGGCGTCGTATGACAGAGTCTCCATCCTGTGGTGGGCAAGAGTTATGAGTACTCAGGCCCTGCACCCGAGGCTCTGGAGGTAAGCTCCATGAGGGTCCCAGCGCCCTGCTGTCCCAGGCTCCTGTGAGCACCCGCCCAGCAGGCACTGCCTAAGCTCTCTCTCTCTCAGGATCCCAGCCTGGAAACCATCTCCCTTCATCTTTCTCTTTTTTTTCCACCCAAATTGGCTTACTTAATACTTATCCAGAAATCTGAATAGATATGTATAGAAGTAAATTTACAGAACTACCTTAATTTTAACAAAATCAGAATCTAAATAGTCTCATTGAAATTTTTAAATAATTTTTATGGAATGGGCTTTCAATTCAATTTTACAATTGATGCCTAGGTCTGTTATTTTCAGTGATTTGTAGAATTTCACAATGCATTTAGTATTTACTTTAGTCCGCAACTTTGCAATTGAGTGAATATGTTTCTAGAAGTAAAATTTTATGGCACTGTAACCACAGGAGGATTATTTTAATGAAGTAAATTTTTCCTTCTGTAACTTACTATGTTTATCTGAACATTAAAGATCGTCTGTGAATCTTGGTTAACTTACTTTTTTTCTCTGTCTAAAGATTTTCATCAACTGTCTTAAGTAGGCTTTTAAAATACTAAATTAGAGTTTAAACTTATACGTGAAGCCATGAGATGTCTATTATCCCTTTTAACTTTACTCAGCAGGTTTAAAATGAAACACATTTTTAATTAATCCCTTATGTTCTTTCAGGACTTAAAAATAGAGAACAAATGAAGTTTTCAAACCAACTTAGTCTTCTACTGAGCACATAATTCTATTGAAACATACAAAATTATATTTAATCCTAATTCCATAAAATCTGATATACTTGGGAAGTAGTCATCCTGGAAAAACAAGTAAACAGAATAATGCACACTTTAAAATCTATTAGTAGAAGCTACTTTCCTCAAATGTTAAACATACTTGCAAGATAAAACACCCCGATGTTAAAACCATTCCACATGCTTTAGTAGAAACTTAAAAATTTAAAACTTTTTTACCTGGAAATCTAAACTAAGTAGGCTTTGCTTGGTGTCATTTAAGTCTCCAGCTGAAAATGAAACAAAACCAGAGCTTTTCTCAAAACAAAGAAAGGACGGAAGGGAATGTTGAAAAATGTTAACTGACTTCTTAGTGAAATCTAAAATAACTGCTTCCCTTGGGGATAAATGCCTTTCAGTTCTTTGTGCAGAAAATCAGCCAAGAGAGTAACCAGGGAAAATGGTTACCAAGGGAAATATTTTTTCTAACTCACAGGAAAAGTGGAAAGCAGCGGCAGGGGGAGAAAACGTCTGTCTGTAGGCTGGAAAGGCAGAACTGGAAGCCTGGACGCGGAGCTTGACTGAGAAATGTGGGTGTTCGTAGACTATTTGCCTGAAAAAAGCTTCTTGTTCATACCAGCTGGAGTGACCCCGCTTGAGCTCTTGGGACTGCAGAGATGCCAGTGCTGCCAAGGTCGAGGACTCTGCATTCCTGGGGCGCCTCTGATTGGGCTATTGAACTCTCTCCACATCTCGCTGCTGCCTACCCTCGCCTCACACACACAGTATTGTTACCAAAAAGCTGTTACTTATTAATGTCACTGGAAATTATGTAACTTCCAACTTGAAGCAGTAACAGGAAAATGTGCAAGGGAGCTGAGAGGCGTCTGATGACAGTCACCCTGGCCAGTCAGGTGTCTGCTTTGCCCTCGGTTTCTTCGTCTGCAAGTAAGCAGGTCAGCGACCGGTCAGAGTTGCAGGCCCGCCCTGCTGCTGCGGGGACCTCGCGCGAGTCACTGCTGTTTCTGACTGAAGTTTACTCTTCTGTACGGAGAGAATGATAGTGCCTCCCTTTCAAAGTCTTGTGCAAATAAAATGAATAACATATACAAAGTGCCTGTCAAAGACTAGGTAATTCTATAATATCTATTTTTTAATTTTTATTCTTCTACCTCAGGAGTCCAAATTATTTGACAGAGAGGAGCTACATCTTTGTTTTCCCAAAATGACCTGGATAGATCAAGTCAAGATGACAGACTACGCAAGTGGGCCACCAAATTCCTAAAAATAACAACTATACATATTTTTTAAAATGTACAAGTGCACTGAAAAACAGTTAGTACTATTAGAAGACCAGACATTTTGAGAAATTCCTTAAGGACTGAAGGCAGATAGGCTGTCTGTGGGAGAGGACAGCTCCGTGGGTGTTCCAGCCTTAGAAATTACAGATCCTGGGAAGGGTGAAGCTCACTGGGAAACTGCACTCAAGGGTCAGGACAGATGACCCCAGTCCTCGTGACATCTCCAGGCCTCGTTCCTGGTATTAGGCATCTGCCCCTGAAGTGAATCCGTGTTCTCATCCACTTGGCCTTGGGTGATGGGTGGAACGGGGAGCTCCGTGTTCAGAATCCAGACTCGCTACTAGCACTCCTCAGTACAAGCACAGAGTTGACCATCTCCACCCACGTGTTGAGAGCTTTTGGTGATTGCTTAACCCTGTTACTGCTTACTCGAGAGCAGATAGCCCAGGATCATCAAACATTTGGGAAGATTCTAACATTCGAGATGGGAGTCCCTCCTCACCTCCCCCCCAAAAATATATAGGCACAATCAGGAAAGAGTTTTGGAAACTAAATCAACAATGAAATGCCACCACACACCTATTAGAATTGCAGAAGTCTAAAACATTGACAACACCAAATGCTGGCAAGGCTGTGGAGCCACAGGAAGTCTTGTTCATGGCTGGTGGGAATGCAAAACGGTGCAGCCACTTTGGAAGAGAGTTTGACGGTTTCTTATGAAAATAGACATATGAGTTGAAAACTTATGTCCACACAAAAACCTGCACATGGATGTTTATGGCAGATTTATTAATAATTGCCGAAACTTGGAAGCAACCAAGATATCCTTCAGTAGGAGCATGGATAAATAAACTGTGGTCCATCCAGAAAATGGAATACGATTCAGTGCTAAGAAGAAATGAGCTGTCAAGCCATGAAAAGACATGGAGGAACCGGGAATGCCCATCATTAAGTGAAAGAAGCCAATCTGAAAAGGCTGCATGCTGTGTGATTCCAACTGTGTGACATTCTGGGAAAGTCAAAACTGGGGACAGTACAAGATCAGTGGTTGCCCGGAGTTAGGGAGGAGAGGGCTGACTAAGTGGAGCACAGGGGATTTTTGGGGCAATGAAACTACTGTATATTATAGTGCTGGACACATGTCATTGTACAGTTTTCTAAACACATAGAATGTCCAACACCCAGAGTGAGCCCTAATGTAACAATGAATTTGGGTGATGATGTGTCAGTGTAGGTTTATCAGTTGTAGCAAATGTACCCTCTGGGGGGGATGTTGATAATTGAGGGGGGGGGGGCTGGAGATTATGGGAAACCTCTGTGTGTTCCTTTCTATTATGCTCTGAAACTGAAACTGCTCTAAAAAAATAGTCTTTAAAAAAATGTGGCCTGATTTGAAATACATACATTATTTTGGAAGGAAAAAAAATGCTAGTGTCATGCAGTGTTGGACATACTGTTTAGGGCAAACAGAAACTTAGATTCTTTGAGGACTGCTTAACAGGAGCTATACTCTGTCCCAGCATTTCACTTCTAGGAATCCACTATAGAAACACTTCTTTCTCTGTGTGCCTCTAGGAAGGTACTTGGAAGCATTATAATCATGAAAAAAAAAAAGAAGGAAACAACCATGGTATGCTGATGGGGAACAATGGGCTGCCGTAGAGGCAGGTAGAGAGACTAAAGAAGCTGTTCTACGGGTTTCAGAGTTGTCCACAGTATACCAGAGGAAACTGCAATTTCAACACAGTACCTGTGCTGTTAGCTCACCTTCTCTTAATTTAGCATCTTCCTAGAGAATAAATAATAGTCGTTATCTCTGGGTGATGGAATTATAGGGGGAATTTACTGTAATTCTGTATTTTTATAATGTTTTGAGGTTTTTATAACCAGATCAGCAAAAGAATAACTTTTTAAGAGAGAATTTAAACAATCAGAAAAAGGAGTAACTTCAGGTAGCAGTAGTGACCAAGCCAGATTGACAAGGCTGCAGACAGCCAAGCTGTGCAGTCTCTGAGGTCCCTGCTCGAAAACTCGTGGCTTATGGATGTGAGTCTTTCTGCAGAAACTATTTTAACCACAGGAGTACATGGAAAATGCTGATACTAGAGTTTCCTGCCCTTTATTATTGCAGCCATAACTGTGTCCTGAAACTTGGCACTGACAGCGATCCGCAGAGTTTGGTGTTGGTCACCAAACAGGATGTGAGCAGGTCCCTCAGCACCCAGACCACAGGGGCGGCCAGCGCAGTCCGTCTCCAGAATTTGTGTTGCAGTAAAGGCACCTTTTCAGTCTGCTCACCTCTGGAGTATACAGTTCCAGTGAGCCTGTTTTTCTTTTAAGGCTGTAGTTGCTTTCCCTGTGGCAGCTTTGTAGATAACACCCAGAGGAAGGTAAATTGTAGAAATTTTAAGTAGGGCCCCTCTCAGAAATGAGAGTCTTATCTTGCTTCATTCAGGTCTGTTCCATATCCCTTCCTCTGCCTTCGTCACATGCCATTTAGCTAATTCACACAAGTATGGCCGTTGCTTCATTTGCTTTTATCGAAGTTACCCTCTCCAAGGAATATTCACATTGAAGTGGAGCACTAATGTGGAACTCTGCCATGATAGAGTCACCCCCACCCCCATGGGTGGACGTGATGGAGTCACCTCCTCCCCCGTGCATGGACATTTCCCCTCAACAGAATGTGCTTTTTGAGTTGTGGTGCATGTTCCAGATTGCTTTCCAAAAAGATTCTAGTAATGTGTATTCCCTCCAGAAGTATATAAAATGCTTGTTTCCTGCTACTTTATTTTTAAGTGATTTTCATATTTTTGAATAAGTCATATATACAAAGGGCAAAAATTTTCAAAGTACAGAGTTAAAAATTTCAGTTTTCTATATTCAGTACTGTCAGGTTGGGTGATTCTACCAACCTTCCCATCAAAGACAAATAAAAAAGCTGGATCACTGTAAACACATCTTAAAATCATCAGTGAGGTAAAAAAGACCGTGAGGGGCCAGCCCGGTGGCATAGCGGTTAAGTTCATGGGCCTCATTTTGGTGGCCCAGGGTTTGCTGGTTTGGCCAGGCATGGACCTACACCTGCTCTCATCAAGCCGTGCTGTGGCAGCATCCCTCACACAAAGTAGAGGAAGATTGGCACAGATGTTAGCTTAGGGGAACAGAAAAAAAAAAAAAAGACTGAGGAATCACTGGGCCCATATCTGAGAGGACCCAAGAGCAGCTTTTTGCCCTGGGGGTGTTTGCCAGAAATATCAAAGAGCAAAAATATCAATGAAATGAGAACGTTATACAACAGACAAGATCCACAATGCCAAAAGCAGGGGGTTTTGAAACAAAACTAGTAAAATTGGTAGCAAAACTAATGCAGGAGAAAAGGAAAAAAGCACAGATTACCAGTATGAGGACCAGAAAAATTGCTTTCACTACAGATTCTGAAGACGTTTAAAAAAGAAGAGGACTTATGAACAACTTTATGGCAGCAAATTTAGATGATATGGACAATTCTTAGAAAAATACAATTTAATATAACAGAAGAAGAAATAGAAAATCTAAATTATCTGTAACTACTAAGGAAATTGAAAATGTAATTTCAAACCTTCCCACAAAGAATACCAAAGGTGTATATTATTCAAAAAATTCTACCAAATAATTTTTTAAGGCCAGTGTAACCATACTACAACCTGACAAGGACATTCCAAGAAAGGAAAATTGTAGATCAATCTGACTAATGAGCATAGATTCAAATAAAACTAAAATCTGTACAACCAGAGGGACATACAACTACAATATACAACTAGGTACTGGGGGGTTTGGGGGAGAAGAAGGAAAAAAAAAGAAGATTGACAACAGGTGTTAGCTCAGGTGCCCATCTTTAAAAAATAAAACTAAAATCTTAGCATACCAAATCCAGCAGTATGTAAAGAGGATGATAAATCATGACTACATTGGGTTTACTCAAGAAATATCTGGTTGGTGTAGGATAAAATCCAAACGTTATATAGTCATCTTAGTGTTTAAAGAAGAAAAGAAGAGAACTCTTACTGTGCTAGATATGGAAGGGAACTCCGTAGTCTGACAGAGTGTCTGTGAAAACCACATGCTTCCACTTCTGGCTATTTGCAAGAGAAGTGGAAACTTACATCCACATGAAAACTTGGACACAAATTTCAAATTTCGTACCTGCACTATTCATAACTGCCAAAATGTGGAAACCACTGAGATATTCATCAGCTGATGAATGAATAAATAAAATGTGGAAAATCATTCAGCAATAAAAAAGAACAAAGACTGATACATGCAACAATGTGGATGAAGCTCAAAAACATTATGCTCAGTGCAAGAAGCCACATATTGCATGATTCCATTTGTATGAAATGTCCAGAACCAGCAAATCCACAGAGGCGGAAAGTAGACAGGGGGTTGCTAGGGTGAGGAGGGTGGGAGTTGGAGTGGCAGTATGGAGAGTGGCTGCTGATGGGGTCAGAATTTCTTTCTGGAGTGATCGAAATGTTCCAAAAGTAGGTAGTGGTGATGGCTCCCAACTATGAATATACTTAAATCCACTGAATTGTATACTTTAAAAGGGGGAATTTTATGGTATGAAAATTACATCTCTGGAAAGCTGTTATTAAAAGAATGCTCAATGGTGAAATACTGGAATACACAAGCAGTCCCCATGAAGGTCCTGGACAGTGCGGTAAAGTAAGAAAAAAAAGGTATAAGAAGAAAATTCGGTGAAGGAAGGAAAAAGCTCTTATTCATCCCAGGTAATAAGGTTGTATATGTGTGAAATCCAAAATAACTTTCAGATAAATTATTAAAATCATTTGAAGAGCTTTCCAGATACATAATATATAAAAATCAATTATATCTTCACACAGAGAATGAAATTAAGGAAAAGATTTACTTTAAATATCAAGTCTATTAAAGAATATATCAAGTACTTAAGAATAAATCTAACCAAAAAGGAGAGAGCTATCTTCAGAGAAAATGTTGAGAGAAATTAAAGAAGACAGCATGAGGAGGGGAGGTACGTCAGGGAATGGAACGTTTAGGATTGCAAAGACCATTTCTACTCGAACTGACCTGAGTGGATGCCATTTCATTCAAAATCATAACAGTTTGCCTCTTTTTTCTTTTTGGTGGAACTTGACAAATTCTAAAATGTATGTGGAAATACAAAGGTCAAAAAATAACCAAGCCGTTCTTGAGGAAGAACAAGGCTAGAGGACTTTCTGCCCTAAATATCAGCTATCATGAGAAGCTGCAATAATGAGGACAGCCTGGTAATGACGCAGGATGAACAACAGACCAGTGGAGCAGAAAGTAGCACAAAGGGCTCGCTCACCTTTGGCTACTTGATTTTTGAGAGAAGCAGCCCTGCCAGGTGTGGGGACGCCTCTGCTCACCAGAGCAGTTTGGAGGGACTGAGGAATGAAGACAGAAGAGACTGCAGGTGTGAAAACAGGCTGTGGATTTGTTCTGTTGTGCTTCAGACGCTAGAACCAGAATCAACGGACAGAGGACACAAGCCAGTTGATTTGGGCTGAATTTTTTATAAAACCAACTTTCGGGGCCAGCCCAGTGGTGCAGCAGTTAAGTTTGCACGTTCCGCTTCTCATTGGCCCGGGGGTTCGGTGGTTCAGATCTCGGGTGTGGACATGGTGCCACTTGGCAAAAGCCATGCTGTGGTAGGTGTCCCACATATAAAGTAGAGGAAGATGGGCATGGCTGTTAGCTCAGGGCCAGGC